ATAATCTCGTTAATGATTTAGCGCAAGATTTTTGACTGGATGCATTTAACTATCTGCTTTGTATCGTCTTGCAAATATTGTTTCATGTATCTGTTTGGAGCTTTTGGAATATATTCGAAATATCAAGTTCGTGCACAAATACTTGCATAATTGCTTTAGTTACCAACTAGGTAGTGATGTAATATATTCCAATGCACTTGATCAACCATGAGTTTCATTAATATTTAGCGTATTTTAAGTATGAAAGCGAAACAGTACCAATATTGAAAATGTATTGACAAAATTCATTGAAGCTGCTTCGAACTATACTAACTTTCTACTTTGCATTTTATAGTAGTGGTATCGCATGAAGTAATTATATTATTATAATAATTTTGAATGCTTCGGTCGTTATATGTACGAATACTCAGTAGCAGATATGTACGATTGATATATTTGATACGCGAGGGGCCATTTTCACGATTTTCAGTTTGGCCTTTTTTCGTTGCAAGATTTGAGATCTGACACCAGTATGACGTTAAATGAGCTTTTTTATCAATTTAAAATCATTAAATGAGGTTATGATCACAAACTGCGCGAAATTATCGATATTGAAAAAGTGTGACCGCCAAAAGTGGACTTGAGTGCAAATAATGGAAAGGATATTTTTTGCTCCGTATCATCGCTATGATGCGCCTTTCAATTTCATAAGTACATAGTTCAAAAGCTACCTCATAGTATCTTAAAACATCATAGGTTCAGACCTCAACTCATCCGCTTCTAGTTAGGCTGGTACAATCAACTTAAAACGCGTTTTTCTCGAAAATACGAAAAATGGACTCAAGTGTTATGCCTTTCCACCACAGAATTATGTACATGATACTTTTAGATTAGTGCACAAAGTGGTGCTTTATGGTAACTTCTGTCATAATAAATAGAAAAGTTCATCTCGAAAGGATTAGAATTTGATTGGGTTCGTCGACGGATTATGTACGAAAGCTCTACCTTTAATTTATTTAACTATGCTGACTAAAACGATGCGAGTTATATATAGTCAGATCAAGTACTTTTAGTCCACGGATCTGGGGCTCGCAAAAAATCAGACTTTTTGATCATTTAAAGCTAAGAGGATTGCTTTGAGTCAAATTTGAAAAGAGTAGATAATTTCGCCTAGTTTTCCTCTATCATTACATTCTCTTTATGGAAAGAATATGTATTATTTAACCGTTTAAGTGGATTTGATCAACGATAGAAATATATCAAAGCGAATGTTTCTGTAGAAGAAAAGCCTTTTATTACTTCATGTAGAACGATTCATGTAATTTAAACATATTGGTAGAACTTTTAAAAGAGAAAATTTTCTGAACATCTCAAATTCTTTCTATCGTAAATTTCAGTTCAACAAAAGATAGGTCACCAAACAACAGCGATTATCCTTGCATCGCGGCTTGTTACGTTGTTTCACTCTTTGAGTGACTTATTCGCGTTATCAGCGATAATTTGCTACACTTCAAAGCGAAAATTCCATGCTCGATCCATCAAACTTTTTCGCTTCTCTAAATCAGAATCTTATAACTTTTGGCTGACATACAGAAGTGATCTATATAACGCAGCGAAAGCTACAGCACACTTTATCTTCATTATATACAGGTTCTCGCGTGCTTCGCTCTCTCGAGCCATTGTTTTCTCTCGCTAGTTCGCTCGCCTCTCTGCCTCTTTTATTCTTCACCTGAGTTATTTTCAAACGCGACGAAATAAAACAAGCCGTATGAAGCACATTCGTGTGCATACAAATACGCACACGGCTTTTATATACATACATCTATCATCGCATTTCAAACCCACGCTTGAGTCGCTGCACACCGCAAATATTATTTTTCATTGTTTCTGTAATCCTTAGATACATGTATATTTTATATAAACGACGAGCTTTACATATACATTGCGATTGGAAAATAAAATTGGCGCAAGCAAAACCGCAGTTATATGCACGTTCGTGCACCCCACACAGGAGATCGATGATCGACGAGTTTTTCCGAGGTTAACGACACTCTATACTTTGTCACGGTTGTTACTGCAGCGTCTGCGTAGCCATGCACTTCCAGCAGAGAGGGAAACTTGGTAATGTGTTTTTCTTCCTCTGCGCTTCTCATCCAGGCTCTAGATATTTTTGAGAAAATATATGTTCGCAGCGAGATACAGAAAGTAACTTTATCCGATCTACAGGCTTGTGGCTTATCTTTTTTTCTAGATCAAAAACTAATGCTTGATGTAAGAATTGCGTCATACGATATCTATGAACCTGTTTGTCCATAGTCATGCTCGAAACAAGCTAAATAAAAGCCGAAAAATTCGTTTTCAGACCAATGAATAAAAGTTTTATTTTTAACCATTTTAATTTTCAACAAAGGAAGCGAACGATTTTTATGATTTATCAAAAATGCAGTACTTGAGCGATGATAAATCTTTAGTATCGCATTTTTTAAGTAAATATTGCATTGAATTCATAGTTAATGTATTACCGTTTGACCTAATTAAGTGCAAAGACAAATTGAATCTTGAATTATTTACGATAAGCGCAATCCATTGATTGCTGCATTCCGTACACCTTTTCCGAATTATTACATTGTATTCTCCTCGTCAACAGGAAAAACAAAACAAAATGTTTTGTACGCTGTTTTTACAATGTGGAGGCTGCTGTGCAGAGCTTCTCTATTTTTGTACCGCTGAGCGCGTGCATCTTTTTTATTTCGCAACGAAGTGCCCGAGTCTCATTTCAGTGATTACTACTAGAGATAGAAAAAATATTTCTTTGGCGCACGATGCTCGTAATAGGCCACTTCAAAGGCTGCAGGTGCAATGTGGATGAAAAATTTCGAGTATTAATAATTGCCATGCTCTTTTTGTATCTCCCGCAGTTTAATTTTTCCCCAGTTATAATGGAAAAATATTGGATACATAAATCCTGGCTTTTATAATTTAACGTTCAGTCGTATTTTTACGTGCATTGTAAAAAAATTGTTTTTTACGTGTATTTCTGTTTTAATATACAATTAATTAATATTCGAAACAGCACGTTCAAAAATGATCATTCAGCGGGCTGCTAATATTAAAAATTGATGACTTATAGTTATCTACGTTTACAAATACATCGAAGCTTTATCAACTTCCTTTTCCAACGAATCAGAAAGAAAAGTCATATCTTAAACATAACAACAAAGACGCGATAAAAAATTCCTTAATAAAAAATACTGAAACGCATCAGCGTTATTGACTAAAGTGCCATCCCGACGTTCTCTGGGAAAATGCATGATTTTATTAATGTGACGCGAGACATGTGCGTTGATCTTTAATTCTCAACGATATTAAGTTTGAATCAAACTCACGTAAGCGATAGTCTCGAAAAATGTATTTGCAAATGTAAAAAAATGTGTCGACGTTAGCGTATGTAATGTATTGTAAAATATTCTCTATTAAATTTTAAATTCGTTGTTTTAAAATTTATTTTTTAAAACGTGCAATTGTCATTGTCAGCGAAAATTGTTTCAAAGTACCTTCTATTTGTACACGAATTTGCGTTTCTCCTCGCACAAACATGCACATTCGAATATATGTGTATAGAGTCATGAAACTGGAAGAGGTCATTTCGTTCGTGAGAGTTCATATAGGGGCTTGAAAGTGTTTCACTGCTCGTGAACCAGTTGAAATAATAGAGATTGACACACTAAACGTTAATTACTTACTCGTAGACAAGTTGCTTTATTTCAATTGTCCCCTTTTGCTTGTCTAGCTTGTTTATTTTATCCCAAGAGTACGATGTTTTTTTAGCAACGCCATATGGCCAACAGCTTATCGTCATCTTTATTATGTGCAGTAGATTATATATACAACATCATTATACTGCATACAATTATCGACAAAAAATTTAATTTTTTCAGTTTTCGCTTGTATGTAAATTTTTGTAATAATAACAGCATTTATTCACAAAAATATTAAATGGTTGTTTAAATATTAAAATAAGACATCTTTGTTATCATTGAGACACAATTCATGAGATATAAATGTGAGGATGGGCCCATATCATAGACTGCGCGTGAAATGTGACACTTGATCATATCAAATCACACATTGCAGCTACTTTCCCTACTTGTTTTGCACAGCCACATGTTCGCATGTACTCTGCGTGTGTGTGTGCATTGAAAAACGTTAGTCTGGTAGTGTACTTATTTGAGCTGGAACAATATATAACATATAATATGTACATGAGTCATGCGCGCATTTGCTCGAAGTCTTTCTTCCTGTGCGTGCTGCACGATCTTTCGAGAGTCGAGAGAGAGGATAATAATGCCAAAACGAGTGATAATACTGCTATTGATGCGCGAGAGACACATAGCATGTTTTATACGATAATGATGATGACGACGCCGACGACGACGATGCGGGATGATGCGTGGACATGTGTGAGATTCGAACGCACAAAGGGAGACATCTGTTTGTTTCATGTTCTGCCATTTCGTTAGCTCTCTCTTTCTCTTTCTATTTCTTTTTCTCCCTTAGTACGAGCTTGAAAGCTCCATCTATGTGGACAAACTTCATTTTATGTGATGATTGATTTAATAATATCTGCTTGAAATATATTCTCTAAGCTTCGATGGATTATTAAACGATTGCACAATGAGCCAATTCAGCGAATATTATATGAATGCATTAACGCTTTTTTCATCAAGATGCTTTGAACTATTTCAATCTAATCAAAATTACTCATGAATACTTCAATATTATCGAAGACAATCGTCTAAAAAGAAGTTGTGCACTCGTTAACTTTAGGAATAGATAGTATCTTAGTGTTTTTATAAGAAAAACAGAGAGAAGGCACGAGTAAAAATTAATTGTTTCATTATTAAAAACAGAAGATGCATATATAATACTGAATAAATTTGTTCAGGAATCTGAATCATTATGTAAACAAACACATTAATTTCTTTCACGCTCAATGAAGCTAATCGTAAATATTTTTTCAGGTGAACGCGTTGAACGATTCTCATCAGCAGTTAATGGTCCATTGGGTTGGCGAAGGTTCTGACGTGATAATTTGCTTGGCACGAGACAGCAATCCTCTGCCGAGATCGATCTTGGGCGTCCAACCGGCGTCGTCGGTCAACCCCAGTGCCGTGTACATAAGCTACGATTATGGGGATACCTTTCAAAACAAGACCGAGCTATTCAAAGTCTCAGACGAGCCGAATGCCAAATACGCAACTCTTGACAAGTTTTACAATCATCCAACCTACAACAATCTTGTGAGTAAACTTTGATCTTTCAAAATTTCCGACTCTTTACCATCAGTAGAATTTCTTTAAAAAATATACGAACTATGATTATTATGCTTGATAACGAATTTTCATGCGTACAAATACATACCTCATGTATGCAAGTTTAAAGTTGAAATTAGCTCAAAGGAAGATGAAACTCGAGTTGGTCAATCAGAACTGATGACCCGTCTGATTTTTCAATCAGCCTGGGTGAAATTGACTCTTCCCGATGACAACTACTCACCGAGACTTATTGAAAAGAAACTTTGCCCTATGCACATACACAATGCTTACTTTTATATAAACTGTCTTTGACTTTTCAAACAAAAATAGCGCTGAATAAATTCAACTTTTTACCGTTAGTTAGCGAATCAATAATTTTGTTTTACATTTATATCAGAAATATGTGCCATTTCAAAAGTCGTATAAATTGCTTTCATTAAAAGAGTATTGGAAATTATATTCATTTCAACTATAAAGAAAATCTTTGAACAAAAAAATTACAATGATAATCATAATGTTATATTGCAGTGTGTATTTGCCGACAGTGCGAACAAGTTGATATTCATAACGTACAATCACGGTCGCGACATTGAGCGAATAAAGCTTGACTTCAGCCCCAGCGAGATCGCCTTTTATGACAAGCAGGATGACTATGTATCTACATATTTCGTATTACTTGTACTCGATAAGGTTGATCCAGCACGCAAAGTAAGTTCCATTTGCTTGAACTAACTGATCTAATAATATTATTCATTAAATGTTCAATATCAAGAAATTATTGTTGCTAGATTTTCCATTATTTAATGCTAAACGATTGTGTTATGTTTTAATTATTAGTTGTACATGACAACGAATCGTGGAAAAACATGGAACGTTATCCATGAGTATGTCAAAGCCTTCTATTGGACCAATGGTCGTCCTAAAAATTTACTCATCGAACGAGCTGAGCCCGGAGGTCAAAATAATGTAATTGATCTTGGTCATGATCCATGGAAGTGGAGTAAACGTAATTATACCGGTGTTATCAGCGGCATCGAAGATTTTCAAATACGAGGGGATTACATGTTCGCAACAAAAAAAGTGAGATTTGCTTCTTAGTCTAGAAAATGAATATTCATTAGTTTCATAAATAATAATTCGTAATTTTTATGTTATTAGCAACCAATGTCAAATACATCAACGACACAGCAAATGGACCTCTTCATATCATACAAAAGTCAACCGTTTGTTATTGCACAATTCGATACGAATCTTAACCGTAGAGATTATCACGTAGTTGATGTATCTTACGATCGTGTATTTGTCTCGGTATCTCATACCGAAACAATGGTTAATCTGTACATTTCCGAAATAATCGATCATCGAGGTGCTAAATTCATTCTTTCATTACCTAACATCATGAGCTTCTGCCCCAACAATACTTGGAAGGACAGTTGGCTCAAGTAAGTAAAATTTGTGTTCAATAATTAAAATAATTTTTCAAAGTAATCAAATGAAAATTTTTATTTAATGATTATTTGTGATTAGTGACGTGACAGATGAAGCATTTACTGAATTGTATAAAGTCGAAGGATTACGCGGAATCTACATAGCATCTCAAGTTCAAGGTACGCCCAAACTTAGCTCTATCGGACCTGAGCACTTGTTGTCTCTCATTACGTACGATCATGGGGTGACCTGGAATCGTATCAAAGCACCAGAGACTAACCACAAAGGTCATCACAATGGTTGTACGGCTGCTACAAACTGCTCGCTGCATCTCAGTCAGAAATTCAGTCAACTGTATCCAGTCATGCGAGCAGCATCTATAATGAGTTCCAAGTCGGCACCAGGTATAATTATGGCCACCGGTGTAATCGGCACCGATCTCAAAGGGCATCCAGCCCTTTATGTGTCACGAGATGCTGGTATGACATGGAAGCAAGTGCGTCAGGATTATTATTTCTTCAATATGGGTGATCATGGTGGTGTACTAGTAGCTGTCAAGTATTTCAAGACTAGAGGCGAAACGAGAGATTTGTCTTACTCAATCGATGAAGGTGAAACTTGGCAGACAATCGAGTTCAATGAAAAAATGCTTAGGGTTTATGGTTTGATGACTGAACCTGGTGAAAATACAACCGTTTTCACGATGTTCGGATCAGGCAGTGGGCAGCATCAATGGCTAATCATAAAAGTTGACTTGAGTAAAGTTTTTGCCAGAAACTGCACAGATGATGATTACAAATTTTGGTCGCCATCTGGACCGCAGGTAAATAATTTAACTATCATGGTACGTAGTTCTGTAAATAATATTCCATCATAATTGTGATCGATTCGTAGGAATTATCATCAACTTGTGTACTTGGACGTCGTGAAACTTATAAACGCAGAAGTGCTCGTGCTCCTTGTTACACTGGTGTCAGTTTCAATCGACCGGTAAAAGTTGAAATTTGTCCGTGCGATGCAATCGATTATCAGTGTGATTTTGGATTTACTAGATATTCAAAATCTCTTGAGTCGTCATATACTTGTGTAAGGAACAAAAGTCTCGACTATTACGATCCATATGGTATACCATCGAGCTGTGCTCCTGGAAAGTTTTATAATAGAACTAAAGGTTATTTTAAAATTCCTGATGATGAATGCATAGGAGGCCGAGCAAAAGTTTTCGAACCTGATGAGGTATGCTTTATAAAGTAAAAATTATGAAGACTATGAGTGTATGAATATTTATAATAGATAAATTTCAATTTTTAAGATCCCGTGTCCAATGGAAGCTCTTCCAGAATTTCTACTTGTCGCTCAACGTGAACGGATCTCCCGAATCGATTTGAAAGAACAAAAATTAGAAGTATTACCCGTGCATGATCTTAAAAATGTCATCGCTATTGAATTTGATATGAAAAACAACTGTCTGTACTGGGCTGATATAGTTAACGATACTATCGGTCGTCAATGTTTCAAAGATGGTAAAAGCTTCCCTGAAATTCTGGTCGAGACAGATCTCAGTTCAATCGAAGGCATGGCATTTGATTGGGTCTCGAATGTTCTTTATTTCGTTGATGGTGTCAAAATGAGAATTCAAATCATCAGAACTGATATCTCACACGCTGGAAGAATGAGGAGAACTATTTTAGGACCAAACAACGTTCAAAAACCTCGTGGTATCGCCGTGCATCCTATGTTGGGTTACATGTTCTGGACCGACTGGGCTCCTGGCAATGCTTCTGTTAACAGAGCCAATTTAGACGGATCTAATGCCAAGCAACTTTTTCACAATCATGTTGAATGGCCAAATGGTAAGCTAATTTTTGTATGATAACAAAATCTTATCTGCTGTTCCATTTTTTTTTTTTTTGAGTTACTAACAATAAATTCTTCAATTAGGAATAACGATTGATCACATTGCTGAGCGTATATACTGGGTCGATGCTCGACAAGATTACATTGGTTCTTCAGATTTCGAAGGTAATGGCTTTAAGAAAATCATAGAAAACGATGAAAGAGTCTCGCACCCATTTGCTGTGGCAGTATTCAAAGATAACATGTATTGGGACGATTGGAAACAGTCAATGATTTTTGTTGGGGACAAAGATCATGGCTTCGGTATATCTACAATAATCGGTCAATTGACCGGTCTTATGGATCTTAAAGTATTTGCTCACAGCATTCAAACCGGCATGAACAAGTGTTCTAACACCTCACTTTGCTCTCACATTTGTCTCGGTGCACCAAACAATCAATATGTTTGTTTGTGTCCTGATGGCATGGTTATGCAAGACGGCAAATGTATGTGTCCTGGAGGTGTCGAGCCTTATGCTAATTCTACGTGTCCACGTGTTGCAAATAGTTGTGCTGTAAATCAATTTGCATGTGATAGCGGTGCTTGTATTCCCGAGTTTTGGAAATGCGACGGTGACAACGACTGCGGTGATCATTCCGATGAAGCCCAATGCCACAGAGCCAAGTGTCAGCCAAACACTTTTAGTTGCGATATCGATAAATGCATTCCTAAGTACTGGGTTTGTGACCTGGACAAAGACTGCAAAGATGGCAGAGATGAAATAAACTGCACCTACATGAAATGTAATGATAACCAATTCCGATGTGAAAACGGACGTTGCATTTCTCCAAGATGGTTATGCGACGGCGAAGATGATTGTCGAGACAATTCCGACGAGAAAAACTGTACGACTGCGGTACCAGCTAATACATGTAAATCAGATGAAATCTCGTGCAAATCAGATGGCAATTGTGTACCCAAAACATGGAAGTGCGATGGTGAATCTGACTGCGAAGATGGTACAGATGAAGAAGATTGCACAAGTGTCGAGTGTGAAGTATGGCAGTTTGACTGCAATGCTTCTGATAAGACACATCGTTGCATCTATAAATCCTGGGTCTGTGATGGTGATGCTGACTGTCATAACGGATCAGACGAAGCCAATTGTACATCTTCCGAAACCCATACTACTGTGCCAACTCCTCCACTTTTGCCAACCAACTCTTGCAATGATTGGATGTTTATGTGCAAAAATAAAAAATGCGTTCCTTACTGGTGGAAATGTGACAGCGTCGACGATTGCGGTGATGATTCCGATGAAATGGGTTGTGGATTCCCGGAGGGTCCATTACCGCCCACTTTGGCCCCAACTGATGATCATCCTGCCGTCTGTAAAGATCATCAGTTCCGCTGCTTTAATGGTGAATGCATTGATACTAATTGGATGTGCGATGGAGCGAAAGATTGTACAACCGGAGAAGATGAGCTTTATTGTAATAATGGCTCGCATGGTTGCGACGAAGATCAATTCAAATGCATCAACGATGGTTCCTGCGTGGCACTTACCAAAGTTTGCAACGGAATTGATGAATGTCCAGATGGTAGTGACGAGCGAGGGTGTGATCATCATCCACCGAGTATCTCTCCGACAGCCACTTGCAACACAGGCTTCTTCCCGTGTGACTTAACGCGTTGCTTCCCTCTCGCGGCTTATTGCGATGGTAAACAAGACTGTTATGACGGATTCGATGAGAGCAACTGCGAGAAAAACAATACTCGTGTGCATCAAGTTGTTAGTATTGGCGTGGATGAACGTTCAACCAATGAAACTAGCTTGTTCCTTTACTGGTGGATACCTATACCAAGCAACGTAACTTTCCAATTCATGCCATCCATATCGTACGCCGAGCCGGATGCCAAGTGGACCAATGCCAGCCAGTGGATTGAAGATACAGGCTATCATTTCCTTAACTTGGAACCTTACACCAAATATAATCTCACCGTTTACGTAAAGATCAAGGGACAGTCAACTGTGTTCCCACCGGCTAAGTAAGTATTATGTTAATTTGACATAAAAAATGGTAGTAACAATAATAATAATAACAATAATAATGATTCTACTTATGTAAATAATTTTTCAGATACATCACAGTGCAGACTGGTGAAGGCGTTCCGAGTCCTCCTTGGAATGTTACGGTAGTGCAACGTAATGGCACCAAAATGGAAGTTTTCTGGAATCCACCTATTCATCCAAACGGTCCAATTACTCGTTACGAAGTTTTTATGACACCACCTATACCACCAGTGAATCTGCAAGCTTTCCCAAAAACCTCTGTCGTGATTGACCATGCTTTTGAAGGTGGAAAGAACTATTCATTCTGGGTTATAGTTAAGAACAGTCAACATGTGTCAGAATCTTCAAACGTAGCAACCATCACTTACGATGGTTCATCCAACATAGACGATATTCAGGATCTTAGAATAGTAGAGATGAGCAACCATTCCATCAGCTTAAGCTGGAAACGTATGAGCTACGCCGATGGTTATATTATTACGACAAAAGGACCTCTTTCGTATCCAAATTTGGAGCAGCATACTACTACTTCAAATTCGTATGTTGTTGATGGATTGGCCCCAGGAACTAGATATGTATTCGAAGTCAGTGCTACGAAGAAAAATTATATTGGAAAACCAAGTGCTATCAATGGAATGACAAAAGATCAGCCCTTACCAACGATTTCGAATCTTGAACCCACATTATTGAAGAGCCACGGCACAACTATTAAATTAAGCTGGGATCCTCCGAAGAGTTCCCGAAAAATCAAATGGCAGTACGCTGTTCATTATGCTCTAAAAATGCCAGATCTTTGGAAAGGTTTGTAGTTTGATCGGAAATACTTTTTTCTATCTCTTGCAGTTAACCATTATTAACTTACATTTATGCATGTTTAGCACCTAAATTCAAAACAACAAATTTGACGGCAACTATTCGTGACTTGGAAGCTTGCGAATCATACATTTTTGCTGTTGGTGTCAGAGGAGATTATGGAGTTGGGCCATTGAGTCAACCTGTAACTCTGAATACACACTTCAATCATAAAGCACCACCAAAACGATTGCGCGTGACGCGAGGCGAAAAAGCCGATACGATGGTGATATCTTGGAGTTCAAGTTGTCCAACAATCGATGAACCTATTGGTTACACGGTAAGCTAATTAATTTATTAAAAAATATTCTGGATGAATTTTTGCTCGAGATGAAACAATTGCATTATGTAAAATACTGAGCATTAAATATTTATTAAATTTTCAGTTAAGCGTAAGAGAGATGGTTCTAAAAAAGCTCTCTGTCTATACCTTACCGCCAACAAATGAAACGGTTCTAACCCACTCCATCCGCAATATTAGATACGGAAGTCGTTTCAATATATCAATAGCAACAGATGTCGAGGGTGCTATTCCAAGTCAGCCTGTAATTTATAATGCTCCCCCAATAATCGCACCTCATCAATTGAGCGTTAGTCACAACAAGGATCATTATATGCTCTTCTGGCAAGATAAGCCTTCCGAAGAAATGATGAAAAATATTAATTACCATTATGAGATTCTCGTAAATGAAGGGGAACGTACAATCAACGAATCCACTGCCCAAGTTTTTAAAGCCAATCAACCACCTTTCATCTATAACAATGCCAAACTTGACACTATATACTCGTTTGCTATTAGATTAGTTACTGAAGAGGGACATAAAAGTGCATTGAGTGAAGTTTATAGTATACAAGAATCTAGGTGTAAGTAATCTATCTAAAGTGTGCTGATTTGTAACAATTTCAAGCGTAGTTGAATAAATATTCATTATTTTTATTGTTTATTCAGCCGCAGCCTGGCCAGCGCAGATGAGCCCATCAAGTATACTATCTATTGCCATACCCGTTTGCCTTATTGTATTAGCTCTTGGCGCTGCTCTTGGATACTTCGCCATAAGACATAGAAGACTATCTAACAGTTTTACACAATTTGCCAATAGTCATTATGATACAAGACGTGGACAAGCTACGTTCCCTGGTACCGTTGACACTGGATTAGGTATGTTAACCAAATATAACTTTAAAGTGTTCAACACGAAATTATTAACGGTGTAAATTCGAAAATAAACCAATAATTTTTCCTGCAGCGGAAGAAGAAGATGGTCCTGTGATTCGAGGTTTCTCCGATGATGAACCACTTGTTATAACGTAAAAAAATGATAACATCAAACCAGAATAACTTGCGTTATTGCATCACTGAACAATGTAAATCCAAAAACATCATTGAATCATTTTAATAAGAGAGTATTTTGCCACACAAGAACATTGTCCATTTGACAAGAAATACCACAGATTCAATGTTAAAAGTTGCTGAAGGTGAGAGAAAGACGATATAACACACATTTCTAGTCGTAGTAGTGAGTCGAAGATATCTCGCCCGATGCCTAGTATGTATAATATGTGAGAACCTGATCATATAACAAAGGATAAATATTGAATCTGCGTCGCTCAGTATAATCACAAAAGTATCTTTAGAATCAGTAAGACGTGAAAGATATAATTTTTATTGATATATTATTAATGAACTTGAAGAATTTACTGATCCAAATCATCTTATTCGTTGTGGTATGGATTATTTATCGTGCAAAAATAATGCAATTTTTCATCATAATGATTTATAATTTTTCTGGTACAAATTTACAAATTTGGCCAGAGTAAAAATTTAATCGAGCGACGAAGGTTCCTTATTACTGGTGCTTCTCGGTAATAAAAACATTTCAAATGCCATTAATTATTTCTGTACAATTCATGTAATGTCTATGTTGGAGATGATTATTTTTTTTATTTTTATTACTTTATTGTCAAAACTTCACTTGATATGAAGTTTTTCGCCCATCGCGAAATTTATTTTGTTATTTTAGAATACTTAGTTAAGTGCTGATTGATTTTTCGTATTCGCAAGTGTTTGATTTTTTTCATAATGTCCGATTAGATTTTTTTAAACTCTAACTTAAGTGCGATCCCTTGCGTCTTGATAAATATGTTGGTAACTATATTTTTGTATTTTAATAAAAATGCAAAAATCGGTCTGCTTTTTCTTTGTCTATAGAGCAGCAATCCTGTTTTCAATCAATTGTGATGATATCTATTTTCAACTATTAGAAAAGAAAAACAGACATTTACTTGTTCCTAGTTATTCGTGCAATGAGCATTAAGCAAAAGTCGCAATATACTCGCAATTTTTTTTTAACTAATGCAACTCATCAGTTATTTTTCAAAGTTCAGTTTAAAAGTTTAGTTTTCTGAACCAGATACATATTCGGTCAAAAATCTTGATGTTTGGTGGGAATTGGGTACTTGCTAAGAAGTTCCTCTGAAGAATTTATTTTCTGATATACTGTATTGAATATAAAAATATATATGTTTTTCTTTAAGCCATTTCAATATTCGTTAATTTCATAACCCTGCTATCGTAAAATTTTATACCCTATTTGTTTTAATCTAAATATATTTCTTATTCATATAATCAATTATACTGTGAGTGTGAAAAATAATTGGAAGACGTTGTTTAGTCGTATTGTTGATCATATTGAAAACAATGTACCATGTTTGCAAGGAAAAATCTTACAGAAAACCCATAAAAATATGCTTTAACATTGTTATTTTTAAAATTTTTGTGATGGAATTACAAAATTAGAAGTGTTTGGTTTATTGCTAAGAAAGACTGATCATTTATTTGAATTAACATTAAAACATTAGTGTTTTATGAAGTAACATTAAAACTGTGAGACTCAATAGTAATAATACCAATTAACAATATACAGAAATTTTCACAGGTAAATTATAAGCATTTCTATTACGCTGCATTATTATACGACTTAAGTAAAACTTGTAACTGAATAAAAAATAACGAAACTGATCGTCGATAAAAGTTTAAAAATATCGCAATGTCCATTTAAATCATGCCTCTATATTTTTTATTACAAAAAGTAAAACTGTAGGTTTCCATGAGAATGTATTGAAAACAACATTAAACTATTAGAGACTGAAAAAAATTTCAAAACAACTCGAGCGTATATTTTTAATTTCAACGAAAATCGAGCTTAGTTTTGATTATTTTTACAGATTAAATTATTACTCGCACCACCAATCCTATACTTGATTGTGTTTGTATTAGGCCAGTAAAAATCTAAAAAATGGTCATCCAATTTTTCTGCAGAATAAAATGCGCTATTCTTGAAAACAGTACCTAAAATTGAAAATAACTAGAAGAAAAGAAGCTGGAGCTAGTAGATAAAGATGGATATTTTGGTAAAGTGAGCTATCGTTTGTCATAAGCAAGTCAGTTTTAAAGATAATGAAATACGTCTATTATTTTTGATCGTGAATATTGATGTCTAGTATCTAAATAGATATTAGAAGTCGAATTAAATTTTTTATCGATGATAAAATTGAGTGCTCTCAAAATGTTGGATATCAAATGGTCCGGTTTTTGGTACAGTTTGAAGCATATTAAACAAATAAAATGCCAAAACTTTTGATGATGCAAATTCAAGCAATTTGAGAAATAATGATTGATGTATAAATTTGCACATCCAAATGTATAACGAATTTATGAGAAAAAAGTTATTATACCCACATGTTTATATAATAAACTTTAAAAATAATTTTGAGTTTGCTCGTAGTTAAAAACTAAGAGGACATTATAACGTTAAAGATAAGTAATTGCTACTAAAATGTGGGAGAGAAAATTTGAACGGCATTCATTTTAAAGTGTAATAAATGATTAAAAATTACATGAAAAAGAACATTATTTACAGTTGCCATCGGAAGTGCAACTTTAAAGGATTATTATTACTATTATTATGATATTCTGCGATAACAGTGATAATATTGATATAATTATATTATATATGTATTTACGTGTAAATAAAGTGAGTTAAGGCATAAAGATTAAAAAATAATTATATGTTTTTAATTTCAAAAACTTCACCTTTTTGTCGTTCAATTATTTCAGTATATCCGAACAAGTGAACTTTCTGTTCAATGTACTGCCAGTACCTTTTTCCTTTTGCTAACATTCATTTTACATTACCTGCAAACAATGTATCATTTGTCACGTAAAGTATCGGTAGATTAAAATTCCTTGTTTGTTTCTTTAACTACTAACATGTTTTACCTTTCAGAAAGTTGACCCTAAACTCATAATACATTCAAAAGCACAGTATTTCAATCATGAGTAAGTGGATGTACGGATGAGAATACATTGCTAAAGGAATTCTGAAGTTGGAGTGAAAATTAACACTGTCAAGTATGTTTTCAGAGAAAAAAAAATTGTTTTTCTGAAAAATTTCGTGCGAATAGCTAAAAAGCTCCGTAACAAGAGCATTCAAGTAGTTTTTAGAGCTTTGTGTTATAGAAATCTAAGATAACTTATTTGAACATTTTCTTTTTTATTCAGCAGGGTTTGTGACTGTTATAAAATGGCATGCGTTAACATATACTTTTTGCAACATAAAACGCAATTTTTTACGAAATTTGTGTGAGAACTATATGAAATTATTCTGTGAGCTCATTTTATAGACCTATGATCCCCATAATGTAACGTTTGATAATTACAATGGTTATAAAAAATGGGCATGAATGCTACTTACAAATTTTACGAAATTTTAAATTGTTACACAATGGTCAAGTTTTTAGTGATATATTTTCAAATACAATTATACTTTTTATTTTTAATCTTTGTAAATGAAGTTAAGACCAAGATGGATTATTCCCTATTGTATCAGGCCGGTCGGAATAGTTTTTGATTTCGTCATTGATGTAGTCGAGATAATATGATATTTTTACAGCTACGTTAGGATAATTTTCATGGCATTGATGATCTCCCCCAGAAATTATGCCAATAAGAATTTTTTTATCGTTGGTTGCTACTGGGCCTCCACTGTCACCCTGTAAAAACATCCTCTTTTTCTATAGAAATGTTTTACGATGTAAAATATTCTGAAGGTATATAGGGCATACTCACAGTACACGTCCCTTCATACTTTGTGCCGTTTTTTATCGTTTGACGTTCAGTACAAATATTTGCTTCAGAAATCCGATTTCCATAATGTGTTTGACATTTGACCAGAGACATTGTTTTAGTTTTAAAAAATTTTAAAACATGAGAATCCTGACCAGACAATACATTGCTTCCAAATCCAGATACTATAACGTCAGTTTCATCGGGAATGTTACTTTTAGATTTTTCCGGCAAGGCAATTGGTTGTACGTAAGGAGATAGCGTCACATTTTTATAAAGCTGTCAGATTCAACAATCAATTAAATTTTCTTCAAAAATCTGCGATTTCTGATAACTTACCTGAATTACTCCAATATCGCCGAAATAGCCACTGTATCGTGGAGACGATGTGTCAACGTAATCAAAATTATAAGATACTCTTCGTGCTCGGTAACGCGCACCAGCACCGTGCCAAATCGAACCAGCCAGCACTTCGAGACCTTGTATTCTGCGTAATTCCACAAGAGGATAAATACAGTGGGCTGCAGTGAGAACGTGCTTTTGGGTAATTAATGTTCCTCCGCACAAAGGTTTGTCATTGTACAGCAACAACACTTGATAAGGAAAATCTCTCGGATTAGCTTGATTGCCCTGGACGATTCGTAATTCATGTGCACTTACAGCTTTGAGTAATTGAGACATCGTTACAAAATATCAATTATTATTTACTCTTATAAAGTTTCATAGCATGCTTACCAATTGTCGCGCCGTAAAGTAAAAACAGTAAATTAATAAAAACCATGATGTAAAAAAGATATAAAAATATTTTTGTTCAAGACACTGCCGGATAATGTATAGTGAGATTGAACGTCGAATCGGACTGAGAAATAAAGCTGCTTCTAGTAGACATTGCAGGATCCAGTATTGCGTATAAGACTTACGTGTCACTGCATGAGGGCTCTATCAAAGTAGGTCATGTTTGCGTCAAAGCACCAAATTTCAACAATTCCTTTACAGTTCAATTTCTGAGTCAAAATTAATACAACCTGAATCATCAATCATTCATACCTTATACGATGTATAAGGATAAGGATATTGAGGTAAGTGGTCAAGTTCGATTTTATGATGAAAAACATTAAAAATAGCTTCGAAACTTGAATAAAGTGATATCTACGGGCTGCATTACTTCGATCGAGATAAGTAGGGTACTTATACCAGTGATTGACCGCTTTCGACCAGTAAATGACCACTTTTGGATGTGCAATAATTATCGTTTTTCTTTATTAAATTATGATCAAACATAGAAAACAAGATGCATCGTTCACTGAAGAATTGAATTACTTCCATACAAATATATTTTTAATTGTTTTTCATATGATATTTTCTAAAATGGTCATTCACTGGTACCCGGTCATTGATTGGTCTGACTACCCTATGTATGTTAGCTGAAAGTTTGAGACCTCTAGATTATATTCTCGTGGAACAGAGGCAGAAGCGAAATCATCAAATTGTAAAAGTTTTTGCATTTTTATAAGATCAATTTGAAATAACATTGAAACGTATAAGGTTTTTGATGGAAAATTCAAATTTTCTTTTAAAAAATCGTTTGTATCCTGTCAATAACTTTATTTTTGAATGTATCTATTGAAAAATATATTAGTTTACCTTCTGGCGTAGAAAAAGTTCCCAAATTCTAATATTTAGAACATGAAAATGTATAATTTTATAAGAAAATAGCAATATAAGGTTGAAATTTCATTTTAACATTTGCATCGATTTCTTCTTAACAACAGCATTATACGCAAAAATGCGAGGTATGACTTATTAATTGCTCTTGGTATATACGTAAAAAGGGGTCGAAAAGTCAGCTATTCAAAAATTATTATATTGCACTAATATAACAAATTTTCATTTATTTGATTAATTCGTTTTTCTACTTTTCATTAGCGTAGCGATAAAATATATTTGTAATACTTGGATGTTCACTAGCTTCGTATGGGTGAAGAGTGTAATAGCTGGTTTCTGAGTAAATGTACGGTAAGAAATGCGAGACTCGAGCAAAAACATTGGCATAAGGAGAATCGCAGCCACCGTAGCCACCGGAAACCACACCGATGATCATTTTCTTATTTATGTCTACCAGCGGTCCTCCACTGTCACCCTTGTATTAAAAACGCAATTTATTATTTTCAATGTATAATAAATTCAACTAGTAACATTGTAACTTACGGAGCAGGTACCACCGTATGTTTGGTACAGTTCGTCGTATTTGAAACGATCGGTGCAAATGCTGCTGTCCAGAATGATTTTTGGGTGCTGAGCTCGGCACTCATCAAGGGAAATGGTATAAGTGTACAATTTTCTCAGAACCATTGAAGGTTGACCGGCATAAACAGTACTTCCATAACCAGTTACAACGACTGGGGTACTTGTATCAATTTCACCGCTTGGCAAACTTATTGGCTGAACTTGCGGAGACAGTGTAACTCTGCTCTCAAGCTGAAATTTATTGAATTTAAGACTTTGTTACACGTTCGATCCGGAAAATACTAAACTTGAAATTAAATCTTCGGACAAATTGATAAGATTTCTCTTTGCTGTAATAGACTTGATTTTTAGAAAAAATTTTTACCTGAATGACTGCCACGTCGTTGGGAATGAAATAAGGAGTGTCAATTGTTTCATCGATGTAATCTTTGTGATGTGATATTCTTCGTACATTGTGACTTTGACCTCCTCCTAGATATTTTGAGCCCACTAAAATTTTAACATCCCCGATGTCTCCATAAGGATCCGCGACAATTTTATAGACGCAGTGCGCAGCTGTGAGTACGTGCAAGTCGCTTATCAATGAACCGCCGCAGAGAGGATTACCTTGCAAGGTAATGAGAACTTGGTAAGGAAATTCTTCGATTTCTGCTTCGGATCCATCCGGGGTAATCCTGACCTTAGCTGCGGTGCCTAAAGTACGTACATCGATACAATTTTTTTTTTTTTAACAAACGAATCGTCATAATAATGTTTACTCACTCAAAGCTGTGTAGGAAAATATAAAAAAGAAGCAAGCAATGAAGGAGACTTTCATTGTTGCTCAATTTGTCTTCGATCGATGTAACACATAGTTTTATTTTGCGTCTTTTATATAAAATGAAACATCTATTAAATATTTTTTATTCTTTATTCGTGATGCAGTTAAATAGTCAGTACAGTTCGTGATTTGCATCGCTTTTACAAAACAATTACATAAATCTAGCGGCAAAGAATATTCACTTAAATTTAATTTGGAAAATTAAAGAAAAAACAAATTATTTTCAACTTTGCATGTTAAATTATGTATTCGTTGAAAAGTTTTGGTATTACACATGAAACTTTGGAGCTTTATTCTATTACTTTGAATACAATTGAGTGCATTATAATTTTCAGTTGGCTGTCATATCTCCAACACTTGGGTGTATACTTCTCCAGTAAGGGTGTTGCGTATAATAACCCATTTCAGAACGAATATATTGTAAGTAATGGGAAACTTTTGCAAATACATTTGGATACGAAGACTCGCAGCCACCGTAGCCTCCGGAAACGATACCGATAATGACTTTCTTATCCGCTGTCACGAGGGGTCCACCACTGTCTCCCTGTAAAATCGCATTATTTTCGTGATTAACGATGTACGTCGCTCAAGAAGACGACGATCGACTCACCGAGCATGTACCGTCGTAGAATTCAGCTGCTCTGTTTATCGGAATACGATGCGTGCAAAGGTGGCTACTTAAGATTATTTTGCGGTAACGCGCTTGACACGCGTCACGAGGCATTACGTACGTCAACATTTGTTTCAAAACCATCGAGGGACGAGCTCGATACCGACTGCTCCCGAAGCCAGAGACGATTACGGGCGTGCCGTCGGCTACCTCGCTGTAGGCCACCGCGGGCAGGTTTATTGGCTGCACCGTCGGACCAAACGCTACCGGACGAGCGAGCTGCGTCCAAGCAAACAAACACTCGACGTGAATCGGGCTAATATTTATTATCGATGTGCTTTTCTGCCATACTTACCTGTATAACAGCTACGTCATTGGGAATGAAATACGGCGTATTTATGCGCGCGTCTACGTAATCTCGGTGATGCGATACGCGACGCACGCCGTAAGACCAGCCCTGTCCGTGAAAGCTCGATCCGACGAGGACTCGAATATTTTTAAAATAAACATGCGGGAAGCGTTGCACTATGTCGTACACGCAGTGCGCCGCCGTAAGTACGTGCAGACTGCTCACGAGTGTGCCACCGCAAATCGGATACTCGTTTTTTGTTATTTGCGCTTGAAAAGGTAAATTTTCAATTTTTTCAGCGCTGCCTTTGACGAGTGGTAATTTCTCTCCTGAAACTGTCACAATTTTTGGATGAATAACTAAGTCATGTTACTTACGCCGTTCGCGTGGCTGTTACTCATCAATTACCTACGACTGCATAATAGCATACAAATATGAGAGATGCTAGTACTTGCATTATTATTGGGTCGAAACGATTTTTAGTTGAAAATTAAACTTTAGGATTTTTTTCAAAGTCTGCCGTGACATGTGAAACAAATGCGCATTCAAATTGTTTTTACATGATGTGTCGTGACTCAATCGATATTTTACTACTTGTACTGTATTAAAACTTTGTTGAAAAAAAAAATGTTTGCATGAAACTTTCTTTGTAAAGTAGAACAATATTATGAAAAAAACCGAATTGTAAAATTCCCTTTCTATTTTAGCCTTACAATTCAGGTATATTCAAATCGACAGACTTTTCAGCTGTGAAGTGAATGCAAAGTGATATGTACGTCTCAGCGGTAATCTGAGCGTATGCTAAAAAGCCGCAGTAGGAGCTCGCTTCATTGAAATTCTGTAGTAGCAGCATCAGCAGCTGCAGTAGGAGTCTTCTAATCTGGATGACAGGCTCCTTCCAATATTTATTAACATCTCGCGATATAGTCGATATACATTTTCCAGATCGTCACATCGTCGCGCTGTCCCTTTCAATCGAGTAAAAAAATGTTTCTCCCAATGCGTTGTCCCACTTATCACTACACGAGGCGTGTGCGTGCGTGTACTGCGACACATCGCGCGCTACTCTGGATAATCGATCCAATTATAAGAGTAGACGCATAATATGAAAGTCATCTCGCCCTTTTTAACGTTGAAACTCGCCTTTCAAATGTGACTTTATGCGTGCTGCACGACTTGTTTATTTAGTTGATGTAGGTGTCGCGCGTCGAGTATTTATAAGCGATTTGCGGTTCGCCGGCTCGCGCGTGGATTCGTAAAATGCGAGTGTATTAAGAAAGCTGCAGCGTTGAATATTCAAATTAACGATGTCAGTGGCGCAGGGATTATTTTCAAAATGTCATTATGAGCTGAAGAAATTTCCTTTTTTACCCGTCGAAAAAAAATTCCTTTTCATACAGGGAGTTTGAATCAATCATCAAACTTTAGATATTCGATTAACACAATTCACGTATTCATCTTTGCTTTGGCAGTCATCGAACCATATAATAAACGAGCCATTGAAATGAGAGTAAAAAGTCATACTTGTGCAAACATCACCCAACGGGTGGCGGCGTCTATTTCCATGCTGGTAACTGTGTACTCTCGATGTGGCTCTCTGTTATCTGAATGAGTCGGCAGAAATCTGCACGTACATTGTTAAGTAGGTCTCAATGTACAGTCGCCATCTTATTTTACCAAGTATTCTGCATCTGAATAGTTATCCTACGATTTTCTTAATCATACCTCTAATATAGATTAGTGAAAATATGAAAAATGTCACCAAACAGAAGTGTACAACAGTGTCGAAGTACCGATTTTTCATCAAGATAAATCACATGAGTTGCAGTAAAAGTGTCATTATCATCAATCGCAGAGCAAAAAATTATAATTACCTTCAACAGTCTTTATGGCTTCATTTCACACTCACTCACGTATGTAGTAAATATATTTTCTTTCCCGTTGATTTGATTTTACCGCAAAACTACGTTTGATTTTGTTCTTTGTTGAATCCTTTCAGATGACGTATTACTCTAATAAGCACGTGTACACTTTTACAAGATAGCTACTTGCGTGTGTTCCATATTTGTTGACTTATTACATTTTCTCATCGACTGAAATGAAATAAAAATATTTCAAACGTTTTCCATTAAATTTTCTTTTGCTATCTTCGAGCATTTATAATTATATACTCAGCTGTGCTTTTAATTTTAAATCAAAATTTGGACATTGCTAATAGAAGTCTCATGTACAGTACACGATGTACTGATTCGGTATTCGTTACATATCCATTAAAATTCAGTCGCTGCAGCTTATTAGCAAGATCATTTGTTCAAGGAAACAATAAATTCGAAAGGGCGTTAGAGCGTGAACAAACGCGGGCGCGAAGAAAACCCCATGCATACAGGAGAAGTTATAAATTTGAAATATCACAGTTGTTGGATCAGTCGAGTCAATTTAGGCTCTTACACGGTTCAAGTTTCACACATGCATCTTATAGCATTAAGCATTTTTTGTACTCGCGAATAAGATTATCCAAAGGTGTTTGTAATTCCCCGCAGTATAATATGTGTGTAGCATACACGAAGTTGGCTATTGCACTATAACACGTATGCATACATGTGCGCCTCGAGTATAAACTCTGTATGTACCGTAAGTAATTGTAATTGCGCTTGGCTCTTCCGATGCACCTTCTTTATCTTCTCTCGGATGCGTATTAGAGACGCTCTTTCTCCGGTTTAATTATGCTCGCATGGTGATGCGCCACGGCCACCGCCGCCGCCGCACTGGTCAAGTTTTTTCATTTTTCATCCTAGCGTTGATGCTGCGCGATGGTCGCGCGGCTCTCATCCTTCAGCTCGAGGTTTGAGGTTTTTCGTGGATTTCTGATGAAGCTTTTCCTCGAGGTTTTGCGGTACACGTGCTTGCCTGGATTATATCGGTCACAACTAGACATGCACTCAATAAAGCAAAAGCTAAACTATTTACTTTGAGGTGAAAAAATCGCTAACCATGAGATATGCACCACACGATATTCAATTTAAATCTGATTAATTTTTTCCTTGTTTTTTTTTCTCCTTCTTCGTGGGCAGAATAATATACAAATGTACGTGTAGGTAAGCGTGTATTTGTGTGTGTGTGTGTGTGTGTGTGTGTGTGTGTGTGTGTGTGTGTGTGTGTTGGTGTGTGCGATCCGCGAGATACGTATGTAGGAAAATAACGTTAGCATATATAAATTAGGTACGTAAAGGCTAACGAATCGAAAAGAGATCGATTGTGGGTACTTCATTAGTTCGGGGGGGAAAAAAATTGATCCATGTACCGTTACAAAAGTTACAATAGAAAATGTGCACTGCATCGGGATTTTTCGAAACAATGACATATTATAATCTCAAACAATGTCAGTCAACATATAAAGGCCAACTGATCCCGAGCGCAGAAATGTAAATATACATTAAGTTGGCCAAGTGATCATCACGCCGGGAGAATGTTTCGACTTCGATTGTTGTTTTCATTTCGAATAAATACGCGCACACATGCTCGTACTCATACTCGCTGAAGAGCTGACCAGCGACTTCTTTGCGGTTAGAGAAGGCGAGAAGAGTAAATATTTGCTTTTTATGAATTTTGTATCATTATCATAATGTAGGTCTAACGGAATGTTCATGTGCATTGCATGGGTATCAAATAAATATCGAGACTTTTTGCGATGCGTCGGCTGATAACGCGACGCAGCTATTCATCCTGTATAATTAGTTTTTAATTTTAATTAAACCCTTGGGAGGCACATTTTTACGGTATCAGTTTGAGAATAATAAAATGACGATGCCACGAGCCATGTCATTATTTGTGCTTAGCCGTTGTTTTCGCGTACGAAATTTAGTAGTTTTCAGAGAACAATATTGCGCTCGCAGCACATCCTCTTCCTTTTTCCAAAAACGTTGTTTTTCAAGAGCCGACGGGGGGAAAAAAACTACTGTATTCGATGTGCGTGCTCGGCGTGCGTATGACGTGCACCATTAACCGTCATTTAACCTACATTCGGTATTTTGGCCACGGTACTTCTCACCCTAAATAAGGCTAATGCATACTGCAACTGGCGGAGCCACAACAGCAGCAGCAGCAGCCACTGCAGGTGACAACAATTCAAATTGACGCGACAGGATTTTTCGCTTTACGACTCTCGTCGGTGGCAGGATTACCCGCGTGTGCCTGCCTGACGCGTGCGTGGGAAGAAGAATAATCTGCGATCCGTGGTAACGTATATACACGTACTCGCGTCTATGCACGCTGTAAAAGTACATGCGTATATAGTATATATCCTGCGAACGTAGGTATATAAAATATATATATGTAGCAGCGAGCCCCCACTATAATATTAAAAGCGGCGCGTGCGGCGGCAAAGGAGATGGTATATACACTAGGCTCGTTCTCGCTCGTGCCTCGGCTGTATACGCTCGCTGCCGAGAGAGCAAGACAAGGCCTGCACACGCGGCTTCGCTTGCTGCGATATCGGGGGCGGCCTGCGCGCCTTCTTCAAAACGGGCCTCAGTCCCGATCTAAACGCCCCACTGCCAACAGCAGCAGCAGCAGCTAACAGGCTGCCTTGACACTGACCGCCAACGACAACCTGCAGCAAAGAAAGAGTCGAGCTCCTTTTTTGGGGATTTCCGCGAGGTTGTCGCCGGAGCTTTTCGCGCGGCTCCTACGGGCAGTCGAGCTTTCGTTACGATTCGCGCGATATTTTGACAATACTTTTGAGATTTTATCCATGTGAGGTTGTGAACTTGAAAGCCAACGACGTTGTCTCGAAGAAAATAACTGAACGAGCTAATTTAGGAGTTTTTGAAGGAAACGACCAAACAGGATAATCAGTCATGATAGTGTGAAGCTGGAAGAAAAAAGAAGAATAATCATCGGTCGAGCACGTGATAGTTTCAACGCCTCGAGTTGTCAAAAGCTTGACTGCGCAAAGTCGTCTTCGTCTTTGTCGCCCAAGTGCCCACATAGTAAACTGAAACATCGATCGATCTTCCGGCTTGTCGATTGGTGCTCGTTCGAATGATTTTAACGATCATCGGTGACTTTTATCAGGGAAAGTTACACGATTACGACGCCAGAGCAATGAGGCAGTAAAAAAAAGCTACACGACCGATTCGTCGTCTGTGGGAGAATCACCGCAGCGAGCTATGAGAATCGATGTCGGCCGTACGGCATGCAATGGGACCGATAAAGGTGTACGAGATCGTCATGATTACTGTCGGGTATGTTGCTCATTTTTTTCTTCTTTCGTTATAATATACAACCTCGAATCAGGCTTACATTCAATTGCAGCCGCTTCAATCGATTCCGCGGTTAATTTATCCACGCACTTATATTAATTGCAGAGGCAATTTCACACCCGTATAAACGGGAGGGATTGACGCGCTCACATATATGGCGATCTTTTCTCAGCGCGCGTTATATAAAGTTCTTCGG